CCACTTTTCTTCTATGAAATGAACAGCTGTAATTGAAAAGCAAGAAGCTCCATGGTTTATAGAGATAGGTGTTGTTAAGAGCCTTAGCCATCTAATTTTCTTCCTATTGCAGGGCAGGCTTCCTATTGTCTGTCCTTTAGAGCTAATTTCTTTTCTGATCAAAAGGCCCACATCATTGAAAAGGTAGTAATGACTATTCATTTGGTTGAAACCTCCATTCTGCAGCCCACAGAGCTTTATTTAGAAACTGCTATTTATTTCTAAAAGGAAAACCTCATTTGTATCCTCTATAATGTCAATTAAAGGAGAATATATTTTAATTATTTGTCCTGAAGAGAAACCTTTCAGGATCTCTATTTACTGCTCCAGTGATACAGGCTGCAGTTTGAAACAATATATGCCTGCAAAATTGCGTGTCAGAGAGGAGAAATAAGATGTGTTTTGATTTAATTTGCCACTAATTAATAGTTTATTTGCAGCTAATTAGCAAGTTCGAGTTTTGCAAATAATGTCGCATTTCTAATATGACTCATTTAAAAAAAAAAAAAAAAAAAAAAAAAAAAAAAAAAAAAAAAGCCTCACCATCATTGCCAGCAAATGAGGTGCGTTACTGAATCCGAACAGAAAACGCTGCGGGAAGGATTCACCAAATTATCGATGGGTAAAAAACATAGGTGATTGAGTGGGTTTGTTTTCCTGGAGAATGAGTTGTACAACCGCTCAGCTCTCACGGAGAGTGGGGGAAAGGGCCGCGAGTGGGGATACCCCCAACCCACGGGGCTGCTGGGGACACCAGCGGCAAAGGGCGCTGCGTGGGCACCAGGGGCCGCTCTGCTCCGCCCCGTGCCTCTGGGTGGGACCGGGCGGGACACGGACGGGCTGCTGCGCTCAGGAAGAGATGTGGGACTGGGAGCAGCATGGGGAGATGCACAAAGTTCCTGCCGCCGTCTTTAGCACCGGGTTTCGTGCTCTTTTTTTCCCTCGGAGTTTTTCTCGTTTCCGCCGGGCTCCACAGCGAGCCCAGGGGAGATGTCCTGTGCTGGTGGTCCGCTCTGCAGCTCTGTTAATTGGTAACTTGGAGATGAGGGGTCCTTATTAGCAATTCCCCCACCCCGCCGCATCCCTCCCCTCCCGCAGAACCCAACCCCATGAGGCGATTACCAGGAGGAGCCGTTTGTCAGAGGCTAATAAACAAATTCCTGGCGAACACCTGAATGAATGAGCGAGGGCCGGGAGCAGCCCAATTAAGACACGGAGCTCCTGGTTGTTTTTGTGGCGGTGGAAACAATCCGGGCCAGAAAAGAGTCTATTCAACGGCGCTCCGAGAGGTCTGTTTGCAGCCCGCTATTGTTGGTAGAAGCCAAATAAAAGTTCAGCTGGGGGGAAAAAGTGATAAAAAACAGCATTTGCTGCTGTCCCCTGAATGCGCTGGGAGGCTCGGTTCAAAGGAACTGAGCTGCACCCAAACGACTGCCTGGGTTTTATTCACGCTTGTGAGATTTTTGTTTTTAAATGTTACTGTTTATAATGATGTCATCAAAGGTATCCCTCGTGCTTTGGGGCAGATGAGCAGCAGAGATGCTGCAATCGCTGTAGTGCTCTGCAGAGGGCACGGGTGAAGAGGCAGAGGGGACAGGGAACCCGTTTGGGGGTGTGGTGGTTTGTGCCCCCAGCTGGAAATGAGAACTCGGTCCGAGGCAGCTCGAGAGGCTGGTTTGATGTGATACCACTGGTAGGGGAATAAAAATAATCCTGTCTCAACCTATCGAGATGGGGCTGCAGCACCAGCCCGACGTGACCCACTTGGGAGCTGCGTTACTGTGTGGAAACTTTGGGGAAATCTTAAAACAGAGTCAGAATGCGGAAATATGCAAACCTTTCTTTTAAGCATCACATGGCTATTTTCAGGGAATCATCCAAGTGAGGGTCAGCAGGAACCAAACGAATGGGGCTCAGCTCTGAGTTCAGGCATGCTGTAAAGGCTGAGCCCGGTTGGGACTGATGCTCAGGGTTGGGGGGAATGTTTTAATAATGCGATTAAGTGGGGCTTTTTTGGTGCATAGCATTGCTTTAAAAGCCAGCAATCTAAAAGCCGGCAACCTTCCCTTCCAAGAACTCCTTCCCCAAGTTCTAAAGAGTTGCAATTAAAAGATATTAATGGCTATTGCTTATTAAGTGCTGATCACATACAAAGCAGATCTTCCCTTGTCAGCCATGGACTTTCTCTCAGGTTCAGCTCTCAGCGCACTGTAAATTCTTGCTTTTGCCTCATGCTCCGTTGTCACCAAAAAGAAAAAAAAAGAAAAAAAAATATTAAAAACCAAAACAGAACTGAGAGCTTTTCTGAGTTTGACAACAGTACTTCTGTACATGAGTGCCTCTGGCTCCGACTGAGCACTGGGGCTCTCAGCCCCAGATGGCTTCTCCTCATCCCAGCCACAGCCGAGGAGGGAATTTAGGAAAATGGCTCCATCCAGCCGTGGTGCTCCCCAGCCCCGCACTGGGCGCTCTCTGCCAGCTCTCCTGCTTCTGCCCCTTCCCTGCTTGGCAGCAACTCTACTCACGGAAAGGATCAGGGACCTGGCTGGGACTGGGATCGGACCTTTGAAAGCGCTCGGCAAGACGTTTTTGGAAATAACATCTCGTATAGCGGCACTTGCCTCGCTTCCCCTTCCTTCCCTATTGTGCCTCAGCAGCAATCTGTAGCTTCCAACCTAGGAGAGCATCCCTTGTATTAGCAGAGGGATGCCGGCAGCGGAACCACAGCTGAACCTCACTTCTCTCTGCCGGGACCTGCGCAACCTCCCCAGCTCTGCGGGACAGCACAGCGCTGAAGGTGGCCTCCTGCCTCTCCTTCGAGAGTTCAAATTGTGGCAGAACCATTACCAAGAGGTAGAGGTTCCGAGCTGGGTGTATTGCTCACTGTTCATTCTGCAAATAGAAAGCGGCCGCATTTTTAAGCATGTCTCATCAAAACCACAGAGCTGTGAGAGCACTTTGTGCACCCGTGAAATCTGGAAATACCGACCTATACTTACACTTCTTATTCATCAGTGAGGAGATGAGTGATGTTTCAAAAGAAACATTGCCTGGCTTTTAATAACATGGACCGTGAGATGCTAAACGATGTGTCTGCTGGGAAAAAACAACAACAACAAGAAAAAATGCAATTGACACCTCAGGCCGCGGGAACACAAACTGAAAGACTAAATAAGAGTTTGAAGCTTGTACTATTTATTCAGATGGCTGACATCGCTCGCAGGGCTGTCGGCATACCCCAGTTCTGTACTCTGCCGAGTTGTTCGTTGCAAATATGCGTGCTCGGTCGCTCCGACAAACGCTCATATCAGAACATTTCAGAGCGGCCAGGACACAGATCAGTCCGTCTCCCACCCCTGCTTGGCAAGGTTTAGCCCTGGACCGAGCGGTCAAAACGTTCGGACGAGTTTGAACTTAAAATAGAACTCGTCAAAACTCTCCCGATGTGCTGCAGAAGTTCCTCCCGCGGCGCTCTTTGCGCGACAGCGCCATAAGTAAAACCTGCTGTCTCCCTGCAACGCATTCATTTCGTCCAACATTACTGAGCAACAAACCAGACAAAGCTCCTGTCGCACCACGGCTTGTCCGAGCGGCGTTATTTCCCCCACTGACTTTGTTCAGATGATTTTGTCAGTAAAGAAATGCGTACAAAACGAGCGACAACTTTGCACTGTAGTGCTCCGACCCACTCCGATAAAACCCCCACCCAGCACATCGTGTTGATTCCCCCCTTCCAGCGCGGCCGTTTGTTTGCAGCCTGTACATTTCGCGTTTCCCCCCGCGGGACGCGGGGCTGTCGGCACCGGCCCGGAGCCCCCGGCTGCTTTCCCGTGTCCTCCCACCGCCCTGCCAGCCAGCGCCGTTATCCTTACGCTCTTCTCTTACCGAGGGCTGCCAAACTGCAGCTTCCCTCCTCGCCGGCCCCCCTGGACGGGACGGGGCGCCCAGGCACATCTGTTCCGCGCCCCCTGCCCAGTCCCGCACCCCCGGGACAGTTTGATCGGAAAGCACCGGCGGTGATGGGATCTCCGCCGGCAAAGGACGCTGCCGTGCCTCTACCCGTGCGGAGCTGGAGCGGAACACGGCGGGAGGATGAGGAAGGAGGAAAAGCATAAACAGGCTGCGTGCCTTTCGGAGTTCCCGGCACCGGCCGTGTAGGTGCGGGCGTCCGCGCCTCCGAGGGAGGAAGGGAAGGAAAGGAAAGGGGAGGGGAGGGAAGGGACGGAAAGGGAAGCCCGTGATTGACAGCTGCAGGGAGCTCCTCTCCGGTCACCCCAGCCTTCCCAAGTTTTCTTTCACACGGAGAGAACTTCGCCGTTACCATGAAAACGGTTTTTACAAAGCGCCATCCCCCATCCCCCTCCCTCTGGGGCAGCCGAGTGGAAAAAACTCAAGTGGCCGAGGTTCGGCGAGGGGTGGGGGGCCGGGAGCGTCCTGCCGGCATCCAACCCGGCCCAGCAACACGAAGGGAGGCACAGAGCTGCAGCGGAGCACCCGCCTGGCACCTGGACGGAGCGCCCGGCAGCCGCCCCTGATGCCGACAGGGCAGGGCGGCTTCCCCCCGCAGAGACCGCTCCAGAGGCGAAAGTTTAATTCTCGTCCCCTTCATCCTCTGTGAGTTACAGGAACAGCTGTTCGTACAATCTTCGAGCTGGAAAGCTCATTTCTTTGTGCACACCGAACTCGTGGATCCGCTCGCCGGCTCCCGGCTCCCAGCCCCGCCAGCACCTGCACGATCCCCGCTGCCCGCTCCGCACCCCGGCGAGTGCCCGCTGCAGGTCCAGCACCTCGGGGGTTGCGGCGGGAGGGGCTCGGTCCCGGCAGTCTCCAAACACCAACTTTTTTGCCCATCCCCGTCCGCTCCAAACCGGCCCATTACCGGCGTTGGGGCTGTCGGGAACCGCTCGCTGATTGGCCGCCGCCCGCTCATTTATAGCCCGTCAATCAAATGCCCCCGGGAGAGGTGTGCGCATCGCTCAGCGCTGCCCGCGGGAACCTCCGCTGTACCTCGGGGAACGGCAGAGGAAAGCTGCTTCTTCCTCCTGCAGCCGCCGCCCGGACCGCTTCTTTCTTTTACTTTTATTATTTTGAACTTCCTTTCCCCGAGCTGTGCCCGCCCGTCTGCCACCCTGGCGCATCTCTTACCGGCCCCGGCCATGTACAGCATGCTGGAGACCGAGATCAAGACGCCACAGCCCACGCCGGGCAGCGCCGGGGGGAACCCGGCCCCGGGCGGCAACGGCAAAGGCGGCGGCGGGGCCGGCAGCGGAGCGGGGGCCGGGTCGGACCAGGACCGTGTGAAGCGCCCCATGAACGCCTTCATGGTGTGGTCGCGGGGCCAGAGGCGGAAGATGGCCCAGGAAAATCCCAAGATGCACAACTCGGAGATCAGCAAGCGCCTCGGGGCCGATTGGAAGCTGCTGAGCGATGCCGAGAAGCGGCCCTTCATCGACGAGGCCAAGAGGCTGCGGGCCGTGCACATGAAGGAGTACCCGGATTACAAATACCGGCCCCGGAGGAAGACCAAGACCTTGCTGAAGAAGGACAAATACTCTCTGCCGGGCAACCTGCTGGCCCCCGGAGGGGGCAACGCGGTGAGCAGCCCCGTCGGGGTGGGCCAGAGGATTGACACTTACGCCCATATGAACGGTTGGACCAACGGGGCTTACTCCCTGATGCAAGACCAGCTGGGCTACGGGCAGCACCCGGGCATGAACAGCCCGCAGCTGCAGCAGATGCACCGCTACGACATGCCGGGCCTGCAGTACAGCCCCATGATGTCCACGGCTCAGACCTACATGAACGCCGCCTCCACCTACAGCATGTCCCCCGCCGCCTACGGCCAGCAGCCCTCCACGGCCATGAGCCTGGGCTCCATGGGCTCGGTGGTGAAGTCCGAGCCCAGCTCGCCTCCGCCGGCCATCACCTCGCACTCGCAGAGGGCCTGCCTGGGAGACCTGCGGGATATGATCAGCATGTACCTGCCCCCGGGGGGCGACGCCACAGACCCTTCGGCCCTGCAGGGCAGCAGGTTGCACAGTGTGCACCAGCACTACCAGAGTGCCGGGACTGCCGTGAACGGCACCGTACCACTAACTCACATATAAACAAACTGGCCTCCTCCGGACGGCTCCTCATCGCAACCCCAGCACCGGGACGTGCGGCTCAGCAGACTCGAGACTAACTTGGGAGAAATTTTAAACAGAAAATCCGTTAGTTGTCTTTTTTTTTTTTTCCTCCTTTTGTACAAAAATGATTTGGGCAATCTGTTCTTTTAACAGAGCACGACCGCCTCCTAAAGCCCCGTGAAGTTCTTAAGCCACGGCGACTCTCCCGGTCTCCGCGGGTTTGGGCGTAGTTTTGTTCGCTTCCAAGTCTTAAAGATGGTGCATCTTCCCGTTCGATTTTAGCGTTGCAATGACAAAACGAAAAACCGACCCGGCGGGTGTTGTTTTCAAACTCAGTTGTTCCGTTGTTTACATTTTCGTTGTGGTTACTGAAAGTGTTGTTCTTCCCACCTTGCCGAACGCAGCTCGGTTCGTGTCCGCAATTCGTAGAGTTTTTGACTTTAGGGTTTTGTTCCTACGGAAAGGGGGCGGTGGGAGAGAGCTGTGCGGGTCGCAAACCCTTTCTTTTATTTATAGCAAGTTGTGTGTCTGGGTTTTTCTTAAGCTGTAAACTTATGTAAATCGGTTTGTGAATTTTACTGTGAACGATGTTTTGACATATCAGACGAAGAAACGTTTTAATTTTTTTTTGTTTGTTTACCGAATTTCTTCCAAAAAAAAAGAAAAAGTTATCGAAAATCTCCTTCCCTGTGCCTCGTTTTCTTCTATCTTTAAAACGAAGAGTCCTCCGTATGCTTTACACGGCGTTTGTGCGGGGCGGCTCCGCCGCTCAATGCGTCCCGTCCCGCACAGCCGCTCCTCGGCTGGGCCAGGGGCTGTCGATCGCCGTGTGACTTCGTTCCTCCTCGGAGCCTCCGCGCCGTTCCCGAACGGACCGCTGGAGCCGCGTTGCTCCCGCACGGCGGCCACTTGTTGCCTCTTCTGCTGACGGGAGGGAAGGGCTGAAACTGCGCCTCGCATCTTTTATTATACTTTTTTTTTTTTTTCTTTTCCTCTGGAGGATTTGCCCAGAAGCCCGAACTCATCTGAAATATTTACGAAAGTAAAACCCGCTGGGGAACTCTTAATTAGGTTCTATTAAAAATAAATGGTTACAGGAGTCCCCAGAGGAAATAAATAATTCAAACTTTTCGGTGTGTTTGACGAGTGTGTTTTGAGTCTGGACAACTTTTATTTTCCTAGCAGCCCGCGTTACCGGGGTGCATTGTTACGGACAGGCTCCGCTCCCGCTGGGCCGCATCCTTCCCGCAGCGCTCCGCATCCCGCCCGGCTCTGAGCACCGGCGCTCCCGCAAAGCGGCAGTGCGCGTCGCGATGCAACTCCCCCCGGTCCGTTTTTGCCTTTCGTTTGATACGAATGATGGTTTCTCTGTTTGCCTTTCTACGGAACGGAAGGAAAACGGAGGGTGTTTTCGCTGTTTGCTTTCGTTTTGCTCCGAGGGGCACCTCCGCTGCCGCTCACTGTCGGGAAGTGGAAGCCCCGTCCTCCCTACCCGCTGCTTGCGGCCTCCCGGGCCGGGCCCCCCGCCTCCCGCGGCACGTCCACCTCGTTCTCCGGCCGAGGTCGGTCAGGTCCTTCTTCCGGCTCCGCAGAGGCAAAACCGAGCGTTCTTCACTCCGCACCGCCAGTCTGTTCCTTGGTGCGCTGCCCGGCTCCCTGTCTCCCCGAGAAGAAGCTGCTGCGGGTCGGCAGCCTCGGGAAAGCCCATGCAGCTGCCACACTGCTCTTCGGCCCCTGTGCTCCCCACTCGGTGCAGTGAGCTGGGATGAGCCCCGGTAGCACGCATCTTCCTCTCGGCTCAAGAGTAGCCGTGCAGGAATCCAGTGCGCCTAACACTCTGTTCAGCTCCTTCTTAACATTGCTGGTTACATCTCTGGCAAACTGAAGGCTGTGTTTCCTCGTGTTGGCTCCACCATCTCTTCTCCATCCCTGAGGAGAAGCGACCCTATACCCTGAGATAGAGAGGAGTGATGGGATGGGATGGTGTAGGTGGTGCTGCTGCTGTCCATGGAGTCGTGCAGGGCAGCACGAGGTACCGCAGCATCTCGGCGCCGGGTGAAGCTTTTCCCCAGAGCTCTCCCAACGGGCAGTGCCGGGGCAGCTCCGAGAGAGGAAGTGAGGCCGTCCTGTTCCACCAAACTGCTCTCCCGCAGCATTTCCAGAAAGATGCGCAATGGAAGTCTGACAAAAGCCAGGGCTTCTGGGCAGGTGGGCTGCTGCTGTCTCTGCTGCCTTCAGAGCTGAATTGCACCTGCATCACTCTAAGTAGTTGCTCTCTTCACCTGAGCTCTCTAGAAGTGGATTCTCTGCCACGAAGTGAGAGAAACACTGCTCTTCAGAAGGTTTGCAGCACGTGAGTTCAAGTTATCCTCCTTTCTGTCAGGGCCTAAGGGCAGCTTCTCAACAAGTCCCTGAGGTGTCAGAGGAGATTCCTCTATTTACTGATGTATTCTCTGAGAGCTCATGTCAGCGTGTGGCATGCAGGTGCTTTTCCCGAGCTGTTAGTTCTGAGAGCCAAAGCCACCCTGCAGCTTCCAGCATCCTGAGGCTGAACTTTATCATAATCCTCACATTGGCGGATTGTGAGAAGCGTTGGGAACAGGCACACACCTCTGCCTGGGGAGAGACCTGCTGCAGGCTGGTCCCATGAACCCATCTGTGCTCACAAACACAGCTCCAAACACAAGTGTGTTTTCCATCAGGGAGAAATTACCTGAAAGATAACTTCTTTTCTGAGACCACTACTATGCCCTTTGCTGGGACTCAAGGAATGTCCTGAGGAACAAACACAGAAATGTGCTCTTTCTAAAATTAATGAAGGTATGCTTTGTTTGTACTGCTTTTGATTGCAAAACATGTAGTTTATTCCCGATGTGGTGGGCATGCATCCTGCATCTGTTAAAGCCAAGAGCCTTTTGAGCAGTGCTTGTGAGGGATTTCACACTCCTGCTGGTGTGGGACAAAAGCAAATGGAGCCATGCTGGTGCTGGGGAGGGCAGGTGAGGTGGCAGCAGCAGCAGCCAGGTGCTGTGCATCAGCTCTGGGAAAGGACCTTTCCCTCCAGAAGCCCACAGCACCTGATAAGGCAGAGCTGCCAGTGGGATGCCCAGTTGTTATGTGTGCAAAACCACAAGCAACTGTTTGCACAACTGAAACACTGCAGCCTTATTCTGGAACACTTAGAATAGATGCAAGTGCATCGTTTTTCCTTAGAAATACTGAATTGGTAGCGGAGCTTTAGCAGCGTGTTAACAATGTTAACATTTAAGTGTAAGGACAATATTTAGGCTTTTGTGTTCACACTTTTTTGAATGGAAGAGTGGGAGATCACACTTGGCGCTTGTGTTAGGCTGTTGTAAAAACAGCAGCTCTGGTTACACTATGGTGGTTCTTTACCAAAGACCATTAGAGATCATTTATTTCCACAGCAATTGGAAAGTAAAAATATTTTAAATCAGACTTGTGAGGCATTATGATTGGAGTGTCAATTCAAATAATCAGCAGAGAACTTTGCTTGTGTGAATATTTTTTTAAACAATTTTTTAAATTTCCTTTATTTTTTTACTACTTTTTTGCTATTGAAAGACATGAATTTCAAAAAGGCATACGACTGACACAAACACTTTGTGGAAGCTCTGATGCATCAGTGCTTCACTATATCAACGTGAGGCTAAGAAGGTACACTTTCCAGGAACATTAGAAAGACAGTAACATATCTAACCATCTCCCAGTGCTAATGGAAATAATTATTTCACAGGAACAAAGAAAGCTAAAAAGGTGAAGTGATGCTCAGGACTGGATGCTGCTGCAGCAAGCAATACCTGCAAAAGTTAGAGGTTCTATGTGACCTCTTTTCTACTTACATAGAGCTCCTTCCTCTACTTACTGCGCTTGGCTCCAGGTGGTTTACATGGTGCACTCAGATTCTTTCAATGATAATCCTGAAGTGACAAAAAGCAGAAATCTTAGAGAGAGATGTGGCACCTGGATTCATTTGCATTACCATTTCTTGGGAAGGAGAGCTGTTATGGCAGTTCTGCTTGCATTGGGTCATTTAGTGATTAATGCAGATAAAGTATTCCAGAACAGTTTTCTATTGTGACTTTTCTGGATGCCACTGGATGCTGTAACAAATGCAACACAGTGACTTTTAATTCACAACAGAATGTCCTCTGGATGAAGAATTAATTATTCTTTGCTGTGAATACCATTCACTGTGAACTTCTTTGTGCTGCTGGTCAAGCAAACAGGCTTTCAGGTTTGCTTCCTTGAAAGACATCCTCAGAAGCTCTTTAGCCATTTTATACCTCAGTCTTCTAGTTTATAAAATGAGATCTATACCTGCTTGGTGCAGCAGGGGAGCATAGTACTGAGTGTGTGAGTATGAGGGGAGTACCACCGTGATTCCGTACTTGAGTAATTCCACTCTTGAGATGTATCTTGGATTCAGAGGTGTATCACACACATGTTATTTACATCTGTGTTATTTGCAGGATGCTCATCTGTATGAGAAATCTTTTACTGCTGTTGTTAAGTTCACTTAACCCTCCTTTATCCCTGGGCACTTCAGTTATACATCAGCTAAGAGGAATCCCTCTGACCACGATCTGGTTTAAAAGTGCTGTGATCATGTAACAGAAGTTTCAGATCCATCTCCACACGAGGAAGCAGTTGTGGGGTTTGACACATTACTGCCCCAGAGCTGTTTGCTCAGTTTCTCTCCTGGAAATCACTACATCTCGTTCCATGTTTTGGCCATCACAGCTCACACACTGATGGCTCTGAGCAAATTTTCCTTGGCTGATGGGGAGAAAAGAAGCATGAAACATAAACGAAAGCATAAGCTGCACTGCTTCCAGTGAGATGCAAACTGAGCCAAGTTCTCAGAGCCCCAAACCACTGTATGTGTGCTCCACATGCACAGCAGCCCAGAGCTTGATATGTATTAGGCATAAGGGGGGAACAGATTAGGAATAAGAGGGAAATTAAGCAATGTTAATAACTCGTGAGCTTCTGTCTTCCACTTATCTCTTCTGGGGCTTCTGATTGAGACTTCTGCCTTCTGTGAGCTTTTTTCTTTGTCTCCTTGAAGAATATTATGCGTCTTTTCTGTATAGGCCACAGGAAATAGCATAGCAGTGATTGCACCCAGCCCTCAGGATTTCCCCTTTGTACTAGAGTCAGCTTATTCATTTCATGCACCATCATTCACAGCTTGCTGCACTGATTTCAAAAATTCTATACATCTACTTGACACAAAGGGGAGAGACAGAACATAGAGGTGGACGCAGTTCAGGTGCATCTAACGACTGTTCTTGAATATCATTTGCAAGGGAAGGAATCCTGAAAGTCAGTGGAAACTTGGCCCATTCAGAGTTCAGAATCTGGCAGTTAGCACTGATTCCATTTTCGTTGTACTGTGCTGTGCTGCTGAGTCAGAAAAGCTTCTGCACCAAGTTAAGAAAAGGACTTTTACTCTAAATCACTTTTTTTTTTTTTTAAATCCTTTAAGATGCATTATTAAATAGCCTGTAAACAGTACACATGTGATAGCAACAGTTCCTTATAAAAAGTAAATTTTACATTCATTATTGGGCAAAAAGTACCTTTCTTCAGACCACTAAACAGGTGAACATTTGTGAAACAGGTGTGGAATTTTTATGAGCATACCAGAGATGGGACAGTAACAGGAATTAATTGTCATGCTCTTAAAGTAAAAGGAAGTGAAGGAGTTGAATGTGCTAAGTGGCAAACGTGTGTGCCAAGGCAATGCTGCACAGTCTCTCAGGCATCCAGCAGGTCTGCAGGATGCTGCAGTGAGGATTAGCCCTGTCTGCATTCCCTCAGGGAATGTCCTAAGTACAGCTGAGGGCTTTTTTTTTCTGACTTAGTCTATGTTGTGCACAGCATGCAAAGTTATAACAAAAGGGTTTTATAAACTATTTTCAAGGTAAGGACATTAACTTGGAAGTATTTTTTTTTTTTCCAATACGTCTTCTGCTCTTTTTCTCCCAATAGATTTCAGTCTGCAATTGCATTCTGTGGGAATAATTCCAGCCAAGAATAAGCTGTTTTGGTTTGAAAGTCCTGGGTAAGCAGGGACTGATAACTTCAGTTGAATTAATGAAGGAAATAAGGTTTATTCTGTTGCTTCATGCTAAGACATCAGTATAACAAAAAGGTTATTTGAGAAATTAGGCTGTGCTGTCAATGGAAGGTCTACTCAATATTCTGAAGTAGGAAATATTACTGGTTTGGCAGCTAGCAGGGAACTGTCCTGTGCACCTGAGAGCTGTTCTGTTACTCTGTTGCTTGATGACTGATGAGCCAATTAATAGGAGGAGTTTGGTGAGCTACACAGAGGAGAATGGCTCTGCCAAAATTTGTAAGATCATGTGGATTTTTCATTATATAGAAACTTCTCCTACAAACTTTTATTCCTTTTTATTCCAAAAAGGATTAGAATTTAGGTCAGCAACTTCAGGATACTGCTCTGATACGCACAGGCTTAAGGAATTTTGTTTATCCTACATTAAGTTTTCACCATGGGAAAGTCCCTTATTTTCTTACAGAACTCCTGATCTCTAGTTTTCATCAAATTACACTTGCAGGCAGCTTTCCCCTCAGCCGTGCTGGTGGCCCTACCTGGGTACCAGCATTTCTGCAGAATGATTTCTCAGATGCTTTCTTCCATTAAGATTAAAGACACAGCTGTCATCATGATGTTGTACATTGGCACAGGACTTCTAGAGGAGAAAGAGGGACTGACTGAAAACAAGTCCAAGGAGTGGTGTTGGGAAGGCACTGGCAGACATTTGGTGCTCGGTCTGCTTCACTTTCAGTGCAAAGTAGGTCCTCCTGTGCTTGGTCACTTATGGGCAAGGCAGTTTGGATTGAAAGCACAGCCAAGTGCTTTCCAAGTGCTACCCAGATCCAAGTGAATCAGGGTAGGAGCCAGAAGGACACCTC